GCTGGACTGTGTGTGAAAACCAAACGGTAACACACCCGTATCCAAGCTGGAAGGCCCTCTTGCCATCCGCTGGCCCACTCCTCAGTGAGATTCGGTGAGGGAGACGGAGGCTCAGAGAGGAGCCGAGAGAGCGGTCCTCAAGGTCACTCAGCCTTCGGAACCCCGGTGTTGGCCGCTGCCTGGCAGGTGCCGCTCTGAGGCCTCGGGGTCAGCCTTCCTCTCTCAACGTCTAGTCTCACAGGATGCTGGGAAGGGCCTGGCATGGCCTTCCCCTCCAGGCCACGGCCAGTCTCAGCCCTTGAGTGGAGCCTCAGAGTCCACAGTGGACAGCACCTGGGGGCGGGGGGTGGGGCCTGGAAGAACAGTCCATAGACTCACATGCTGCCGCTCCAGGGCCAGCCCAGCAGACTGCTGCTCTGTAGGATGCACCCGGGCCAGTGCCCACCTGCCGCCTCAGGGAGACGCTGGAGGCCGAGGGAGAGGCCAGGACGTCCATTTTGAGTGGCTGGATTGGGGGTGGGAAGCCAGTTCTGGTTGGATGTTCCCGTTTGCGGGACATAGATTTTCCTTCTCCCCGCTTCCTGTCTCATCCCCGCTCAAGACTTGACATCCCTCAGGCGGTTGCATCTAGAACCCCTTTGTGTGCGTGGCACAGGGCTGGCCCCCAAAAGACGCTCAGGGGGTGTTTGCTGCCTGAAGGGATGGGTGAGGCGGGGCCGACGCTTCCTCATCTCGGGGTTGCTCTGCCCAGTGCAGGCCCACAAGCTGTTCTCGGTGAGTGTTGAAGGGTCAGTGCCTCTTCCTCCTGTCACCTCCCTCCTCGCTGTGACTCTCGCCTCCTAGAGCAGAGCCAGAGTAGGTGTGGGCATGGGGAGCCGCAGGCCTCTGCCTCTGCTCCTTCCTGCCCAGCCGACTAGCATGTGGGGGGCTGTACAGGGTGAGGCTCTGGGGGACTGACACCCCATCTCTGCCACCTAGAAGCTGTGGGGCCTTGTCAGATCACTTCCCCTCGGTGGCCATTTCCTAATCTGTAAAATGGGCTGAAAACAGAGCCCGGCAGAGGGATGTGAGGCATGACAGAGGAGGCACGGGCTGCGGCCCGGTGCTCAGGACGTGCCCCCTGCTGTTCTCAGCCCTCAGGTGAGTATTGCTGTTTCGAGTCGCCCCCTCCCACCGGCGGGGGGGGGGGGGGTCCCTAAAGTCCCCTGCAGCCAGACAGGCAGGGGAGATGACAAAAGACAGACAGGGCCAAAGGCCCCAGTTCCCCATTCTTTTAATAAAAATAAAGACAGCCTTTCGATGCCCTTCTCCCAGACATTGTTCTGCCAAGGAGAGCAGCACAGACTCACTTCCTCCTTGGACCGGGAAAATCCTTCCCTTCTCTCCCCTCCCCTGTCACATTTCCTTTATCTAAATCCTCAGCTATGAAAGGGCAGATCGACAACTGGGGGCGTTATCTGGTGGAGGGGACCTTTTCCTAGGGGTGCCTCCGAGATAAGGAGTCTTATCAGCCCCGGCGTCAGGGACGGTGTGAAGCATTCTAATCATTGAGGCTTTCGACATTTCCCCCCCGCCCCCGTTTTTATTATAAAAATCACAAAAGACGTTGTGCTTATAAACAGCCCGATTTGCAGAGCGGGTTTCAGAATGAGCAGCCCTCCCAGGAGGGCCTCTGGCTGGGCAGTAACGAGTTCGGGTGGGGGCTCTGCGGGCTGGCTGTCTGCAGGTGGGATGCTGCTAAGCAGAGAGGGGCAGGGTGGGATCAGGGGGGGTTCATGAGTGTTTTCGGCGTCTGCCCCAGTTCTGTTCCCCGCTTGCTGTGTGACCTTGTGCAGGGCACTTGGCTTCTCTGGGCCTCAGGGCTTCATCTGACAGTAACCGATTCATTGGTTCAACCATTCATTCAACGCCTGTGTATTAAAGGTTACTCTTGGCCAAGCCCTGGGAAGAAAGAAACAAGTAAGACTTGGTCCTTGTCCTGAGAAACTCAGAATCCAGTGGAGAGAGACAGACGCGAACATGGGCAGTTACAATTGGTGCGATTGGGGCTGAGGGAGGGCACCCAGAGAAGGGAGGCAGCATGGGAGTTACAGCGGATCTATGGCAGTGCTGAGGCAGAGGGGCCTGCACAGGCAGCGGTTGGAGGTGTGAGGCACCAGGCTAGAGGGAGGTTTAGGAGGGATGAGGGCCAGGCAGTGAGGGTCGGGCTCTATTCCGAGGCCAGAGAGAGGCGGTGAGGCCGAGGAGGGATCTGCGTCTTGTATGTAGCTGATGGGTGGATGGAAACGACATGGGCGGGCCACTCGTGCATGGCGGGCCCCTGTCCAGCCACCGGGCAGGCAGGATGCGCAGGGAGGCGGGAACTGGGGTGCAGAGAATCCCTCCTCTCGGAGTGAACACCGAGTGTGGGCTGCAGCGCACTGCCTGCCGGGACTGCAGAAGTTAGGGGTGAATCCAGGCAGCTGCTCTGGAAAAGTTGAGCTGAGACCCCCAGGGGAGTCCTCTGTGGCCACACGCTGGGGCAGGTGGCCTCTCAGCTCCCAGGTCTGCCCGGGCTTCCGCCGTCAGAGCCCTCCCTGCTGACGACTGTGGTCCCAGCCTGGCTCTCAGCTGCAGAGCATGCTGGATGCGTGGCCGGGGGACCTGTGAGGTGGGGCCGGGAAGGGCTGGGCTTCTGTTATAAGAGAGGGCGGCGCTTTCCCTGGGCCACACAGTGGACACGGGCTGGGGAGGCTCCGGCTTCCAGCCAGGTTCCTTGGGCACACAAGTCGCTGGCCGCCCTCTTCTCCGGCCCAGGCCTGCCCGGGGTGCCGGCAGCAGAGGAGCCCAGGGTGAGAGGGCGGCTCGCCCAGCCGCTGCTTGTGGGTGGCCCTGGGCAGGGTGCTGCCGCTTTCTGGCTGGGGTTTCCCTCTCTGTGGAGGGCGAGGCTTGGGCCCTGCAGCCAGCTGGCCTTCTCCGGCCTCCCGTCTGCCCCCCAGCCCCTGCATCAGGGTGGCAAGACTGGACCCTGCACTGGGCTGGAGTGGGGAGAGGCCGGGCTGTGTGCGGGGTAGCCACAGGCCTCTCACCCCCCAGGTGTGCACACGACTGTGTGTCCGTGGACTGCATGTGTGTGCGTGAGAGGGTGCCGGAGGGCGCGGAGGGCTTGTCACGTGGTGTGGGTGAGGGCGGGACAGTGTGTGCCCATCTGCAAGAAGACGTAAGCGGTGAGTGAGATGAGGGAGGTGCGTGCGGAGGCGTGTCCGGCTGTCCCCGGGGGTCTGAGCCGGACAGAGTGTGCCCGTGTGTGCAGGTGTGTCCTAAAGGGCCCCATTGAGGCCTGCTCCCCCCACCCGCTCACGGCCCCAGTCCCCAAAGAGCCGCCTCGTTCCGCAGTGAAGGGCTTTCATCTCTGCGAGAAGCCCACTCCTTTCCCTTTTAAACTGTATGATTCCTGCCTGATTGTGATGGCATATTTTACAATTACCAGAAATCAAAGCCGGGAAGTGGATGCTGCAGCTCTTACTGCGTCGCTGCGTTAAAGCTGGTGAGGCGGGGGAGAGGATGAGCGCCACCTACCCTCCCCCACCCACCCCCTACTCTCTCTCTCTCTCTCTCTCTCTCTCTCTCTCTCTCTCTCTCTCTCTCTCTCTCCCCCCCCCTCTTTTTTTTAGACAGTAATAGGAGAAAATTGGTTTTGAAACTGAATAAAAGTCCCTTTCAGTGTAAATCATTTCTTTCAGGGCACCTTTGCTGAAAGTAAAATAGAGCATAATGAAAGGTGGTTAGTGATTGTCTTTCATTTACGGGAGGCCGGACAGACGGGCCGCGGCGTCCCGGGAAGTGCGGGTTGGAATAATTGCGCGGTAACAAGGAGCTTGTTGTGAAATTAGTATCTTAAGAAAGCAGTGAAAGAGGCTTTTCCTCATGAATACTTCATTATTAGAAGAAAGCGGCAGAATTTTGGGCTCCAGACACCTGTTTAGTATTAAGTAACTTCCTTTTCTTCCCCTTAAATACCCCCCCCCCCACACACACACACACACACACACACTCTCATTTCGGTTTAAAAACCAGCGTGAGGATTGAGTTGGCCCAGCTTGGCTGCTTGGGACTCAGGTTGTGTGTGTGTGTGTGTGTGTGTGTGTGTGTGTGTGTGTGGGGGGGCGGGGATTAGGAGCTGGTGGTACACAGAGGTGCCCAGGGCTCAGCTCACACTGGGAAGAGAGGAAGGGAGGGGCCTGGCAGGGAACCCCCACCCTTCCCCGAGGCCTCCCTGCCTGTGTCATCTCGCTCCTCAGGGACTCTGGGTTCTCAGGAAAGTGGATTTTGTGGAGAAAAGATGCGTGTTTCCATGTGAACGCTGGGCATCCGACTGGGTGAGCTGCGTCCTATGGAGACCTCTGCAGGGCTGCCCTGGCGCCTCCCTCTCCATTGGGGTAGGGAGCTGCTCGGTGCCTGGGCTCAGGGTTTGGTCTGAGACTAAGGCCGGACCCAGCACTCAGGGCCGGAGCCTCCCTCACTCTCCGGGGGACGCCGTCCTGGACATCGCCCGCGGGTGCGGTGAGAGCACCCCAGACCGGCGGGCCACCTTCGGTCACCTAGAACCCCGTGTGCTCACTGGCAGCTCCTGGCACCCCGCCCTGCGGTTCCAGAGATGGCAGGTGGGGTCCTTGCCTCTGGTGAGCTACAGGGGGGTGTGCACAGCTCTGCCCACAGGTGGTTGGCCGGGAGCTGGGGGGACAGCCTGCGGAGGGAGGAGGGGAGCGAGGTGAGGACCCTGGAGGCGGTGACCGCACTCTGAGCAGGGCCCCTCGCGGGGGAGTCCATCCCTCAGGAGACCTGGCCCCTTCCTTCCTGCTGGGCCTCACCCTGTCTGTCTGCGGAAGGGGAGCGGGTCTGCTGTGAGGGGCTGGTGTTCGGGGCGGGGAGGCTGCGGGCAGGACTCCCGCTGAGGGGGTGGGAGCTGCGGGCATGGAGCAGCGTGTGTGAGTGTGTGACGCACCTCCCTCCTCTCACAGGGACCCCGCCACCGAGCGCGCACCGGCCCCAGCTCAGCCATGCTGGCCTGCCTGCAGAGGACCCAGAACCCCCCGGGCCAGCACCTGGCCTGCCCGAGCAAGAGCCTGGAGCGGCGCAAGTGTGAGTGCCACCCTCGCCCTGCGCCCCTGCCCCCGCCCCCCCCCCCACCCACTCTGAGTCCACGGGCTCTTTCTGTTCTTGGACACGGCAGGCTTTTCCCACCTCGGGCCTTTGCAGGGCAGCGGCTGGGCAGGAGTGCCCCCACCCCAGCACGCCCACCCTCCCCGACCCTGTCTTGAACTCTCCGTGTTCCGCGAGGCCTTTGCCCGGCTGTGCTGCCTCATGGGGTCCCTCCCTGCCGGTGGCGCCTTTTGTCTGGCCACTTCCTAGCAGCCTTCGCTGACCACTGCCAGCGCCGCGGCCCACCCCAGCCCCTCCTGCGACGCTGCATGTGCCGTGTCTGTGTCGCCACCATCACACGCCTGCTTCGCAGGAACCGGGATAATGGGGAGCAGTTGTCCTGATGGGCCCCAGCCCCCGGCCTGCTCGCTGGACCTCCGCACGTCCTTACCCCTCGGGGCCTTGCTTCTCAGTGTCGGGGCAGGACTGGACTGGGAGCCTCCAGGCATCTGTCCTCCTTGACTCCCTGGGCCAGGGATCCGCCCTCTGAGCTGGTGATTTTGGCCGCCCTAGGCTGGGTGTTTTGTTTTCGTTTTGAAGTATTTGGAAACATTTAAAAACAGGGAGATTTGAATAAAAATATGGACTTCTAGTGTCCCCTGGGGAAAAAAACAAATCAGAGGATCCGGTGACAGTGGCCTGTGTTCCTGGACTATTGGTTAGAACTGAGCCGTTGCCGCTTAAAGGGGACACACCTCCAGTTCTCCAGTCCCTACCCTCCCTGTCCCTCTCCTACGGCACAGGCTCAGCTGCCATTTATCATTGTGCTTACACCGATGCTTTTTTCTTGTTTAACGTGTTTATCTTTAGATCATACGTTCTTGGGGTCCACTATTCAAAAGGGATGAAGGGGTGTACAGACAAAAACCTCCCTTTCCCAACACCGCCCGCCGCCTCCTGCCAGAGGCAGCCCGTGCTGTCAGCTCTCATGTGTCCCTCCCAGAGCTGTGCTGTGCTGTACACACGTTTACACGCTGACCTGCACCTCACTCTTTCACTTAGCGGCACAGCCTACATGGCAGCACTTACAGAGCCTCCTCATCCTTTTGCCATAGTTTCCCATTGCAACGGTGGTCCCTAGCTCACCTGACCAGTCGCTTCAGTAGAACTGTACCCAGCCTGCTGCCCTTACAGACAGTGCCATGGGGTGTGCGCCACAAGGGGTAAACCACAGGGTAAATTTCTAGGAGTGGACACACCGGTCAGAGGCATGTGCACGTGTAACTTTGCTGTCTGTCTGATCTGTTCGGTCCATTCTTCCTGTTGCTGTAGCTGTAGACCTCCGTGTGTCACACGAATTGCAGGTGTTTCCCCGATTTGTCGTTTGCCTGTGATCCCGCCATGGAGGGATTTTCTTTGTGGAGAGAAATCGGTCGTCATTTCCTTTTGCTTCCGTAGCCTTTGGATTGTGTGTCTTACTTGAAATGTCCTTCCTCATGCTGACATGGGGATTTTCTTCTTTTAAAGCAGCTCCCCCAGGTTTTTCTAGGTTTTTTTATGGTTTAATTTTTTAAATAGATGATATCTGATTGTTTTGTAATTTCTCTGGTGGAAAGTTCGAGACGTGGATCCAAAGTTAATCAGCATCGGTGCAATGCTATCTTAATTATTGTGGCGTTATAATACATTTTACATTTTTTAGCATCTTTATTGGGGTGTAATTCACATACGACACAGTCCACCCATTTGAAGGGAACACGGTGATGGCTTTCAGTGTGTTTACAGAATGTTGCAACCTTCACCGCAGTCCATTGTAGAGCATTTTGTCACTTCGAGAAGAAACCCGTCTTACCCATGAGCAGTCACTCCCTGACCCGCCCGCCTTCCTTCTCTATAGACCTCCTCTTCTGGGCTTTCATACATTATGTGTATGAAAGGACGGAATCGTACATTATGTGGCCTTTTGTGACTCACTTCTTTCATTTAGCAAAACGTTTGCGAGGTTCAGCCATGTTGTAGCTGGAGCGTAACACACTTTAACACTTGCTGATGCGAGCTATTCCTCTATTCACCATCCTCCCACGTGGAATTTCCTGGGCTGTTCTCTTTATTTCTCTGTCTGAGCTATGGGATCAATTTACCTAGGTAAGAACAAAAATCCTGTTTGTGTTTTTACTGGGATTGCATTGAATTTATAAATTCGTGTAGGAAGAAATGGCATTGTTACGATGATGTCTTCCCCTCCAAGAACATGATCTATACCTTTCTGTGCATTCTGACTTCCCTGTGCATCCCTTGGGAATGTTTTAATATTTGCTTCGTGTAGATCTTACACATTATTTTAGTTTATTTCTGGATACGTAACCTTTTTTGTCAAGTCTTTCCTTTCATAAATGGAGGTTATTTATAGAAAGGCTGTTGACTCCTGCCACCTTACTGAAATCTTTTGTTTGTAATGGGTTTTTAATTTAGTCTCGGGTTTTCCAGTTATATCATTTGCAAATGACAATTTTACTTCCTACTTTGGAACTTTTATACCTTAATTTCTTTGTCTTATATAATAGGGTTGGCTACTATCCCCGGAACAATGAAAAATAGTAATGGTCATAATAAACATTCTTGTTTTGTCCCATTTCTCATTAAAAAATGAGAAGCTCCTAAGATTTCTCCATGAGCGAAATGCTGGATTGGGGTAGATATCATGTTAAATATGTGTCCATCTATTCTTGTTTTATTAAGAATTTTAAAAATCAAGAATGCAAGTTGAAGTTTACCAAATCTATGAAGATGATCACATGGGTATTTCCTTTGATCGATTAATATGTATAATGATATAGATTTCTTAATATTGAGCCATCCTTGCATTCCTAGTTGAATCCCACTTGGTTATGGTGAATATTTCTTTTTAATATACTACGCAGGGATTGCATTAGCTCCTTTACTGAGGAGTTTTGCCTCAGTTTCATCAAGGAGCGTAGTCTTTAGTTGGAACGGTTTTGTTGGGTTTTGCTGTCAGTTTATGCTCTTTCATAAAGAGAATGAAGGCTTTCCTTCTTCATGCTTTGTAACAGTTCAACTGGAAATGGATTATCTGTTCTTGAAAGATTGGCTGCTCTTCCATTAAACAGTCTTGGCGAGTGCATTTATTTTGAGTAGGTGGATAGCTCTTTGATAATGTTCTCTGGTTCTTCTGTAATAATTTATGTTTTAATTGTTCTGCTTATTGAATGAGTTTGATAAATTATATTCCTCTAGAAAAGTATTCGTTTTATCCAGGTTCTCAAATTTATTTGCATGAAGCTGCACAAAACAATTTATAATTCCTTTAAAATGATTAACTCACCCTTATTTCTTAAATTGTGTATTTTGTGGCCCTTTTTTCTTTTCTTTTTTCCTGATTAGGTTAGTTAGCTAATGAGGTTATTTGCCTCCTTGTCCCAAGGAGCCATATTTAGGATTTATTAGTAATCACCCCTTTCTGGTTTCCAATGCATTAATTTATGCCTTTATCTTTATTAAAATCTTCCTACTTGCCTTGTTTTTTTATTTCAAAGCTTAAATCTTTATACTGATAAACAAGAAAAAATTAAGGCTTTGAATGCTCCGAACACTGCTTTACCTATATCCTATAGGTTCTAATGTGTAGTATTTTCCCTAGATATTTTTTAATTTGGATTTGATTTCTTCTTTGACTTAAGGCTCAGTTGAGTTTCATTTCTCCACCCAGCTAGTAGGTGCTTTTGTGTTTTGTTTTTTCTAGTTTTACTGCATTACTAGAGACCTGGTGCACAAAAATTCATGCACTCAGGGGGTCCCTCAGCCCGGCCTGTGTCCTCTCGCAGTCCGGGACCCCTCGGAGGATGTCCACATGCTGGCTTAGGCCCGCTTCCCAGGGGATCAGGCCTAAGCTGGCAGTAAGACATCCCTCTGACAGCTCGGGAGCCCTCAGGGGATGTCCACCTGCCAGCTTAGGCCCGCTCCCTGAGGAGAGCCGCAGACATCCTTAGCGCTGCCAACGAGGCAGGAGAGGCTCCCGCCACCGCCCTCGCAGCTGTCAGCCCGACTTGTAGCTGAGCGGAGCTCCCTCTGTGCGAGCGCACTGACCACCAGGGGGCAGCTCCTGCGTTGAGTGTCTGCCCCCTGGTGGTCAGTGCACAACCATTTCTGGTTGTTCTGCCATTAGGGTCAATTCGCATATTACCCTTTTATTATATAGGACTAGAGGCCTGGTGCACGAAATTTGTGCATGAGTATGGTCCCTAGGCCTGGCCTGCGATCAGGGCCATCTTCCCCAGCTGCCTGCAGCCGGCCCCTCCCCCCCGCCGCCACCCACCCCCAGTTCCCCATTCACCATCAGGTGATCGGTGCCTGGCGGCCTGGGGAAGGGACTAAGAGGTGGTCAGTGTGCCTCATAGTGACTGATCCAGCGGTCGTTCTGCCGTTAGGATCAATTTGCATATTACCCTTTTATTATATAGATAGAGGCCTGGTGCATGGGTGGAGGCCAGCTGACCTGCCCTGAAGGGTGGGGAGTCCCCGCTAGGGGGCAGGGCCAGCCTGGGCAAGGGGCTGTGGGGTTTGCAGGCCAGCCCTGCCCCTGATCAGGGTGGGGGTCCCCACTGGGGGCAGGGCCAGCCTGGGCAAGGGGCCATGGGTGGTTTGCAGGCTGGCCACACACCCGATCAGGGTGGGGGTCCCTGCTGGGGGGTGGGGCCAGCCTGGATGAGGGGCTGCCAGCAGTTTGCAGGCCGGCCACCTCCACCACCTGGCTTTGTTAAGAAGGACGTCCAGTCTATCCGGTCTAATTAGCATATTACCCTTTTATTAGTATAGATGATCAAAGTTTTCTTTTCGATAGACTCTATGGTCATTTTTTGTGAGTTTTGACGCTTTATGGGGAAAAGAAGATGTGGCTCTGTTTTCAGGATTCAGAGTGTGGTGTGTACCAATTATATCAACCCCATTACTTATGTTAGTTACGTCTTCTATACCCTTAGCTA